TTTGAAAATTCCCACAAAGAGCAGGTCTAGATTGCTTTACTGGCAAATTCTATCAGACCTTTAAAAAAATCTGCAAATATATATATATATATATATATATGTATGTATGTATACACACACACACACACACACACACACACACACACACACACAAATTCTTACCAGAAATCGAAGAAGAGGGAGGGAATGCTTCTAAAGTTGTCCTATGAAGACAATATTATTCTGACATCAAAATCAAACAAGATATTTCAAGGAAGATATTCTTAGGAATAGACACAAAATCTTCCTTGACATTAACAAATACAAAACAAAACACTATGTAAAAGTAATTATGTACTATGGACAATTAGGTTTTATCTCAAGAAAGAAAAACTGGTTTAGTATCCCCAAATCAACTAATTTTTTTTTTGTTTTTTGTTTTATGTTTCTTGAGTTTTTTTTTTTTTTTTGGTTGGTCGTGGGGCCTGAACTCTGGACCCGGGCGCTGTCCCTCAGCTCCAGTTCAAGGCAAGCATTCTACCACAGCAGCACTTCTGGCTTTTTCTGCTTATGTGGTGCTGAGGAATCGAACCCATGTATGCAAGACAAGCATGCAAGACTCTACTACTGAGCCCAGCCCCTCAACTAATTTAACATATCTATAAAATAAGAATTCCAAACCACACAATTATCTTGACACTTAAGAAGTCATTTGACAAAATGCAGAACCTTTTATTATAAATATATACTACAATTTATGAATAAAGGAAACCTACTCAACTTTATAATAAGCATCTATGAAGAATCTTAAGCCATATTTGTTGACCACACTTGACAGTCAAAAGACTTTCCCTTAAGGAACAAGGTAAAGTTGTCTCTACTCAACACTTGTATTTAATACTATCGTTGAAGTTCTAGGCAAGGCAAGAAAAAAATAAAAGCTATTCAGGCTGGAAAGAAAAAAAACTTTATTTTAAAATGAAATTACTTTGGATCTGGAAAATCCTAAGGAATCCACTAAAATCTAAATTTCAGCAATGTTTCAGGAACAAGATAAATACAATATACAAAAACCATGGCATTTTTATACAGTTGCAATATTGAATATAAAAATGAGCCAGATTTTAGTGGCTTACACCTATAATTCTAACTATTCAAGAGGCTGAGATCTAGAGGATTGTAATCTAAAGCAGCCTGGGCAGAAAAGTCAATGAGACTCTATCTCCAAACAAGCAAGCCAAATAAGCACAAAACCCTAAGCTCAAAACCTAGTAAAGGCAAAAAAAAAAAAAATAGGATTTTTTACAAAAGCAAACTAAAAGAATTACTTAGAAAAATTAACACAGAAGGTATAACATAATCTAAAACAAAATATTGTTGAAATAAAGATATAGTAAAGGGAACTATATCCTGTGTATATGAATCAGAAGACTTTGTATCAGACCCTGGTGTTACAGTGCTTTCCTAGGATGCAAGGGCCCTGACTTCACGTAGGAATGGGGGTGTAGCTCAGAGCACATGCTTAGCATCTTTAAGATGCTTGAGGTAAACCCCAAAATTACATACCACCAAAAACAATACAAAAGGAGAATAAAAGGCTTTTTATTGCTAAAATGGTCACATTTCCCAATTTAATCTGTCAAGTCAACACAATACCTAGTATAATCCCAAAGAGCTTTCTTTTAGAAAGCTTGGCTATAGTTCATTAATGTTTTTATAAAGGTGCTAAGCTAATTCAGTGGAGGAAGAATTAGTCTTTTCTACAAGTGGTGCTAAGACAACTAGACAGCCATATGAAGATCACTGAATTCACACCATGTACTTGACATCATGTACAAAAGTTAACAATAATCAAAGGCCTAAATGGAAGTGGAATGAGGAGACTGATATCTGGATACAGTGGTTCCTTTTGAGGTAATGAAGATGATGGTGGCACAATTCTATGAATATACCAAATGCCCTGAAATACATACTTTAAATAAGTGAAGTATAATGAAAATGAATTATTCTCAAAGCCATTGAAAAATATTGTAACTCAGGAATATATAAGATTAAGATTGAGTATGAGCTGGGCACTGGTGGCTCAATCCTGTATTCCTAATTATTAAGGAAGCTGAGATCTGAGGATCATAGTTTAAAGCCATCTGGGACAGGAAAGTCTCCAAAGAGGGGGTTGACTCAAGTGGCTCAAAACTTGTAAACTGTAGGCTAACAAATAAGGAGAAATTTCCAGGCATAAATGCAAATAAAGATACACAGAAACTAATAGAATGTGATGTCATTTATTCTAAAACTCATTGGAGAGAATTCAGTAAGGGCTAAATATAATCAAAGTAACTTTGAGAAATATTATTCCTCCCCTGTGTTATGACTCATCAAAGAACTGCAATAGCCATAAAAGAATATCGTTCAAAGGGTGGATACATAAACCAATGGAATAGAATGGCTGGGAACTTGACAAATTAAACATATTTCAGTGAGGAAAAGGTGATTAATATCCATATACAAAAATCAGAGATATTTCTATTTCAAACTATACACAAATAAATTTCAAGTAATTAAAGACCTAAAAGTAAAGGGCACAATTCCATATAGATTTAAGAATAACTTCGTTTTTTGTTGTTGTTGTTTGTTTTTTTTCTCGGTCATGGGGCTTGAACTCTGGGCCTGGGCTTCAGCTCAAGGTAATGCTCTACCACATGAGCTACAGCACCACTTCTGGTTTTGTGGTAGTTAATTGGAGATGAGACTCAAGGACTTTCTTGCCCAGGCTGGCTTTGAACAATCCGCAGATCTCAGCCACCCAAGTAGCTAGGATTACAGGCCTGAATAACTTTGGTTTTTTATTTTTTATTTTATTTTATTTTTGTCGGTCATGGGGACTGAACTCTGGGCCTGGGTACTGTCCTTCAGCAATTCAGTTTAAGGCTAGCGCACTACCACTTGAACCACAGTGCCACTTCCGGCTTTTTTCTGCTTATGTGGTGCTAAGGAATCAAACCCAGGGCCTCATGTGTATGAGACAAGCACTCTATCACTGAGCCAACTTCCCAGCCCCTAACTTTGATTTTTTAATTGACATTTGTACTTATTTATGGGACACAGTACTATAATTTGATACATGTATATAATGTATAAGAATTAAATCAGAGCAATAACCATTTAAATCACACACACACACACACATATATAGATATATATGTATTTATCATTTCTGTGTTGGACTCTTCAAATTCTCCTCCAGATATTCTGTTATACACTCTAGTAAACCTCTGTGCTGATGAACTTTAGAACTATTCTTCCTCTAACTACTTTGGTATCGATTACCCACATTTTTTCTATTTTCCCTCCCTCCTATGCTTCCCAGACTCCAGAGGAAAAAAAATTAAATAAAATGTAGGAAAAATACCTTTCTGGCCTTGGAACAATAACTGATATCTAAAACATGACATAAAAGCATGAAGCACATAGAAAGACTAATAATCCTGAATGCATCAGAGTTTAACATGTCTTTATACTGCAAGTAAATAGAAAAGGCAAGACACAAATAAGGGGTAATAGACATATCTTCAAAAGGTTTATTATCAAGAACATATAAAGAATTACTATAAATAGGTGTTTAAAAATAATAGAAAGGTGAAATTAAAGAAAATAGTGAAGTTTAAGACAATGTAATTCAAGAAAAATTCATCAAATAATCCTGAGTAGCCAAGGAATATGAAAAGATCCTTAATTCACTTGTAAGGTCTTAATTATATAAAGCACAGATTTGTATTTGAGAAAATTGTAACTTATGGTTTCTAGAGGGAAATGAAAACTTTAGAAAGCAATAGTTAGAAGTATATTTTAGGTCCAATTACTGATTTCTAGAAATGAACTTCTTAGAAATAAAGCCAAGGGAAATGTAGGTTTGTCACAAGCATTTTATTATAGAAAATGAGAAAATTAAATTTCCTTCAATATGGTAATGACTTAAACTGGAAAATATGTCAGTATTTGAATAAGGTATAGCACGATAAGTATCAACATAGAAAATATTTAAGCTAGTGTTGAATAAAGTATAGGCACTATGTGAATCAAAATAGAAGGCATCAGCCCTGGGAAGGTGGCTCAGTGGCAGAGTGCTTGCCTTGCATCCATGAGGCCCTAGGTTCGATTCCTCAGCCCCACATAAGCAGAAAAAGCCAGAAGTGGGGCTGAGGCTCAAGTGGTAGAGCACTGGTCTACAGCTGAAGAGCTGGGGGACAGCGCCCAGGCCCAGAGTTCAGGCCCCACAATTGGCATTAAAAAAAATGGAAGGCTTCAAATTTACAATATTTAGGGAAAAAAGACCAGTTTCAAATAGATATCTACAGTATGTTATTGCTTAACTTTTAGAAACAAAACAATATGTATCATTAATGGGAGATAGATATTTAGAAAAAGTATACATACTTGCAAAAGAGATAGACATAGTTATATGAATATTCATAAACTAATAGAGGGAAGGAAGGGAGGAGTGGAAAGATGAGAAGTTATATCTGTAATGCTTTTTTCTTTAAGCAGAAATATAATAAACAAATACATCAAAATGCTAGCATACTTACATCTGAGGATGGAAATAGGTGTGTCTATTTTATTACTTTTGGGGGGCAGTTTTGGGATTTGAACTCAGGGTCTTCCACTTAGTAGGCAAGTTTTCTACCACTTAAACCATACCTCCAGCCCCTCACTTTTTGCCATTTTTTGTATATTTGTAATAGTTTCTAATTTCAATTATAAAATTATAAGATTATGGTTTTAGGGTAAATAAGAAATTAGAGGAGGGGCTGGGAAGTTGGCTCAGTGGTAGAGCGCTTGCCTTGCATGCTTGAGGCCCTGGGTTCGATTCCTCAGCACCACATAAGCAAAAAGAAAAAAAAAGCCGGAAATTAGAGGAAAACCAGGGTAGATAAAAGGAGGCTACATTTCACAGAGTCAAAAAAAAATCTTCTTTTAAATATGATGCAGGATATATTATAAGCACATTGTTCCAAACTTACTTGCTCAACCTCTCTGTTGAGAGCTTCTACTTTTTCTTTTAATCTGTTACTCTCTGCTTCAGCAGTGATAAGTTCCAATTTGAGGGTATTGTTATCTGCCTCCATTTGACGAGCCTTATTTTCCCAGTTTTCAGCATCTTCATTGGCTTTTCGGAGTTGATCCATTATTTGCCGGTTCTCAGATTCCTGAAAAGCAAATCATAGGTATCATCTTAAAACTTCTTAGACAGTCAATAAATGATATATATTAAAATTCTATTTTTAAATCACTTATAATTCACTTCCCACATTTGTAACATAACCTTGAGAAAATCTATCTTAGAGAATAGTGCCATTAGAATCTGCCCTGCTTCAGCCACGATTATCCCCTTAGTAAATTTAAGTTCATTACTATCTCAGGAGAGGATCTCAAGGGCTCAATAGCTATGTGTATAAGATCATACAAAATGATGCTTATCAAAATTAGCTCCAAGAAATGATGGAAGTAAGAGGTTCTTTTTTATTAAACTGTTTTCAGTTCTTTTTCTTTTCTTCTTTCCTTTTTTTCTTTGGCTTATTCTCTACTGTTGCTGTCCTTTATTTCTGTACCCTTTGTCTTGTATATAAGTTTATCTGATTTGGGAAGGGGAAGCATAGAAATGGTGAGCCAAAGGGTGAACCAATTCAGCAGTGAAACCTACTAGACACTGTGTTAGAAATGAACTATACAACTTTGTGGGAAGGGAAGTCAGGAGGGGAAAAACTGGGAGAGAATGAGGGAGGAGTGATACTGTTCAAAAGGAAATGTACTCACTACCTGAATAATGTAACTGCAACCCCTCTGTACATTACTTTTACAATAAAATTTAAAAAGAAAACCTGGATAAACATGTTCTTATATTTCCTTTATTCAAATGGGATTCTCACTGCCTCCTTTTCCTATTTGTCTGATTATCTCCTACTTGCTGGTCTGGTTTCTGAGCCTCTAGACTTTTGCATCTGTTAATTCCCTGCTCCTGACTACTTTACTGGGTAGTACTGAAAGCTTCTCTGTATTCTTATACATCTGTCAATTTCTGATGACTCTTGATTTAGAGCATTTCCTCTGTTTTCTGTCTTCATTCAAAACCCTCGCCTTAATTTTCCTTATTATGGTATATTATTCACCTTTGCTTGTTATCTTAATATTACTTGCTTGAAATTACTCAGAAATAAAATATCAAACCTATACCAATAAAGACTTTTATAAATATGCATTCATGCATAAACTATACAAATCAGACCATTTTTGCAGTGGTAATCAAACCCAGAGCCTTACACATGCTAGGGAAGCACTCTACCACTTAGCTACATCCCCAGCCCTGTGAGACCAATTTTTTTTAAACCTTCAAGGTTATAACTGTATTGGTTGAAGTAAGATGTTTTTCTTGAGGGAAAATTTCAGTTCCATAGTGACATATCTTAGTAGTATGGTTTGGCCAACTCATTCTAAAACATCAATTATAATTTCAGTAATTAATAAAAGGCACTGGATCTGTTTCTCCTGTTAATAAATACTGCATTTCTCTATCAGAGTCCTGGGCTAAATAAAATAGCAAAATTGCAATATGTCTCATCATATAAGTCTTTCGGATCAGATCTGCATTCTCACAATTAACATCACTTAATAGTAATAAACTGGTTCAAATCCAGTTAATATTGCCACCTTGTGGCCTTTAATGTGAAGGATTGTTGCCAAGGTTTACATATTTCACATTTGCCATAGTAACCTAATATATGTTTTTCCATGCCATAATAAAAATACTAACCATCTAAGGAATATGTGCTTGGAAGATAACTGGTATAATTCATGTACACTGAATTTTACCCATGCTAAAGTTAAAGGGATGCATTCCTCTTTAACTTTCTGTAGTACTTACTATCTCTGCTATTTGTTTAAAGCTGCCATATATATATATATATATATATATATATGTATATATATATACATATAAATATGGTTTATGTAGTTAGGAATATATATACCGTCTCCCCAATAACACTTCTATTTATCATAGATAGGGATTGTTTTTAATATTAAATTTGATTTTGTGAACAAGTAATAAGAAGGATTTCATAAAATGTGCCTCTTGTCCTCTAATCCCCTCTGTAGTTCTCCATCTCCATTCAGAAGTCATATTAATACTGTTTTTTTTATCCTCTCCGAGCATTGCAGGGCCTGAGATAGACAACATCACAAGGAAAATGAAGCTGTTCATTGTATTCCTCTACTTGGTGCCTCTTACATACTGTACTCAAAGTTCTCTCTGGCCACTCACAAAGCTCTCTGCAATGTTCCACCTGTTTCAACTGAAATTCTTTGTACTACTTGCCTGAATTGTGGTCATAACATCTCTTAATTGTTCTTTCTAGCCTTCCACTCCTAATTAATTCTTTCTCACATCTCCAGAATCATCTTTCTGAAGGTAATTCTTTTCTGTGTTTATTATTAATCTTTTTACTATTATTTTCTAAACTTCCTGAAAATAAGGGTGCCTGTGGCCAATCTGCCTCATCAAGAACTTTGTATGGCCCTGAAAGCTGTTATACATATTCAAATGGCCCTTAGCAAACAAATAAAAAAGGTTCCTCATCCTAGTGTGAAAGGTACATAGATATTCTTAAGTTACCTTCCCAGATATTAGTGAGACTAAATATATGTTAATTCATCATTTTCAAAATTAAAATATTTTATATAGTAAGGTAAGACCTGATTCACCTGTTATGAGTGTGATAACTAAAATAATATTTATGAAAATTTTTAGGTATCATGAGCAAAGAGGAAAAGAAATGTACATACTTCAGACTTTAATATATTTTTCAGCTTGTTAACTTCCAAATTAGTATCTTGGACCTTCTGTTTTATGTCATTAAGTTCATTATGTGTATCATTCAATTTTTTGGACAGTGCCTATAAAAAAGAGATAGCTAGATTTGACTATAACTAATAAAAATTTCTACACATAAAAACAATACATCAAACATTTAAACATTTGCAACAAATAAATAAAATTAATATACCACATATGTAATACATAAAAATGGTGAGGAAACATAAAGCCCAGGTGTAAATGGGCAAAGAACCCAAAGAGACAGTCCACAGAAAGTTAACATAAGTAGACAGTGCTTGAAAACTAAATTTTACTAATCAAAAGAAAAACCAATTAAAACAAATATTATTTTTTCCACCAAATTAGTATAGATTTAAAACTTTGGTTATAGAAAAGAATAGGCATTTTTACTTAGTGTCTGCTCCAAACACAAATCTGCAAGAGGCAAATGTATGATCCACCATATGATGGTGTATGAAGAAACATTTTAAATGTTCATAAAACAAAGATGAAAATGTTGATTATTGTTAAAGATGGATGTAGGTACATAGGAGTTCACAAAATTTGAAAATATGTCTAATCTAAATTTTTTAACTTAAAAAAGAAACAGTGTGAGTAATTATCAAGCATGTGCAAGGCCTTAGGTTCAATCCTGATTCAAACAAACTTCAAACAAAAAAGTTTAAAAGAAACTTCATAGGCTTTGATTCAATTTGATACGTCTAATAAAATTTGATGAAAGAAAACGCTCATTAAGGCACTGTTTAATAAAACAGTCACCTTAGTGTGATGTAGTACATCTGCATGGTGGTATAACTATATTACAGAATAGTACTTATCTGTGAGAAATATTTAAGGTCATTTTTTATAATAAAAGAAAATGTCATCCTCAGTGCATCTTTTTAAAAGGTCAGGCTCCAGAGTTCATAAATAACTCCTTATTTCACTTTGCTAAAAATGTAGCATCAAAGATAAAAGTTTTTCAAGTTTTCATTTTCCAAATCTTTTATAATACTAATTAACCTGTGGTCCTTTGAGCTTTAGTTATTTTGAGGATTGGATATCACACTTATGCCTGGATGGCCTGGACTATCATCCTTTTATGCTTGCCATGGTAGATGGGATGACAGTTGTGCTCCACCACGCCAGCTATTGGCTGAGATGAGGTCTTTCTAACTTCTTGCCCAGGCTGGCTTTGAACCTGAATCCTCTCAACATCTATCTAATAAGTAGCTGGAATTACAGACATGGACCACTGGTGCCTAACATTAAGATCATTTTATATAATTAACAACGTTTTCCATTTTATAGTTGTTTATATGAATTTTAAATCTTTTAAAAGTAGGTTCTTATAATGAAAAGTAAACATACGGAAAGTAAAACCAAAGAAGGTTTGTGTATTCAAACATGCATATCCTCTAGTATGAAAGTACTTTCTACTAAATGTTCATTCTTGTTTCTTTATTGTATTACACTTTATATCTAGAAATTCATATTCTAGAAAATTCATCTGAAAATAATATGGCATATTCTGCTATAAAAGTAAAAATGAGGGGCTGGGAATGTGGCTTAGTGGTAGAGTGCTTGCCTAGGATACATGAAGCTCTGGGTTCAATTCCTCAGTTCCACATAAACAGAAAAAGTCCAAAGTGGCACTGTGGCTCAAGTGGCAGAGTGCTAGCCTTGGGCAGAAGCAGCTCAGTGCCCAAGCCCTGAGTTCAAGTCCCAGGACTGACAAAAAAAAAAGTGAAAATGAAATGGCTATTCTGGTGTCTAAGCTTTTCTACAAAGTAAAAACTGTCACAGAAGAATTTTGTTGTTGTTGTTGTTGGATAAAAAGATTCTAGGATAACATGTACCTGGTTTTCTTGTTTGGCTTTGGCAAACTGTTCTTGGAGAGCGTCATTCTCATGAGCCAAGATATCTCTTTCCCTAGCAATTTGACCCAGCTCATCATTTGTTTCCTCCAGTTGCCGGCGCATTCTGGAAATATCTTGTTCACACATAATTAGGGCTTCTGTAGACTGTCTATTCCACAAATCAAATAGTACATAAGAAGAGTCATTTTACTGAAACAGAATAACAAATTCTCACAAGACAGAAGATGAACAGTTAGCATGGAAATATTTGAAGAAGTTTAAAACATGTTTAAATTTATTGGCATACTGTTTAAATACTACAAAGACAGCACATTCAGATTTTTCTTCTTTGCCAACATTTACTATAAAAAGTGTATTAAATATACAAATAGTCAATGATTTGCTAAATGTTTAATATTTCTGATACTCGATAATAGTAGGAAAACCAGCCTGGAGAGCCGGTGGCTCACGCCTGTAATCTTAGCTACTCAGGAGGCTGAGATCTGACAATCACGGTTCAAAGCCAGCCTGGGCAGGAAAGTCTGTGAGACTCAACTCCAATAAACCACTCAGAAAACTGGAAGTGGTGGTGTGGCTCAAGTGGTAGAGTTACTTTGAACTGAAGAGCTGAGGGACAAAGCCCAGGCCCACCACCCATAAAAAAAGTAAAGCCTTCTTCACAATAACTCTAGCTGCTTAATTTATTCTATAGTTTCTTCCTCTGTCCTCTTAAAAGTTAATGTTTTTCAAGGTTCAAAACCTAGCCTCATGATTTATCTCCCTCCAGCCCATGTCTCAGAGGATTCTAGTCATATTCATGGCTTCCAAACCCATCTATACTCAGATGACTCCAGAATCATTAACTCCAGCATTCATCCACCTCCTTGTAAATAATCCAGATTCATGCTTATGGATATTTCTACCCAAAAAAAAGTCTCAAAAGTTCTTCCACGTCTGAGATGAAAATTACTTTTCTCCTCACACTTCTGTCATGTTCAGTATCCATGCTTAGCTGGAAACTTGAAATTTTCCTAGAGCCCTCCCTTATAAACATCTCATTTCTTCTCTCCTTGAGTTGCTAAAGCAATTTAACATCACCTCTTCAGTCTGGCTAATCAAATACCAAACTTTCCTGAAAGTTCTCAAATTACTTTCCCCAAAGGATAAAAATAAGCAGGACCCAGTGGCTCACCCCTGTAATCCTAGCTACTCAGGAGACTGAGATCTGAGGATGGCAGTTCAAAACCATCTCTGGCAGAAGGCCATGAGATTTCTTATATCCAATTAACAAGCAAAAAGCCAGAAGTAAAGCTGTGGTTTAAATGGTAGAGTGTCAGCCTGGAGTGAAAAGGCTGAAGGACAGAGAGCAAGTCCTGAGTTCAAGTCCTAGTACTGGCATGAGAGAGAGAAAGAGAAAGAAAGAGGGAGAGAAAGAGAAAGAAAGGGGGAAAGGGAGAAAGGGAGGAAGGAAGGAAGGGAAGAAGAAAGAGAGGGAGGGAAGAAGGTAAGGAAGAAAGGGAGGGAGGGAGGGAGGGAGGGAGGGAGGAAGGAAGGAAGGAAGGAAG